GCTTGTATGATTTCAACAAAATATTTTCAGTAGTAGAAATGAAGGAGTATGACATTAATCAAATGCCATAGGATGGTTCTGTGCTCTGGAAAGGAAGACAAACAGGAAGGTAGAGTCCAACCAAGAGACATGTTTATTCCAGTGAGACATTAAGAGATTCTGAGCCATTGTCTAAACCATTAAGGCAAAAATGTTGGATTTGAAGACTGTGGACTCTGCTTTTAACAGATTGCTAACTGTGAGGGAGAAAGCACAGATGGGAGTGAACGGGTAACCTTAATAGATTTGCAGGGCAAATTATATGGCACACCAGATGTATTTTTTTCAGCTCTTCATCCCTGAAGTGAGAGCCTGACAGGCATTAGTAGTACCACAGCCCTCCTGTGGCAACTCTGTATTGCAGATCCAGGGCCTAAACAGGGATAATATTGCAAATCCAGTGCCCAAACGGGGATAACGGGCCTCTAAAGGTCTGGCCTAGAATCTCCAAACCTATTAAATGAAAGCAAATAGAACAGAAGCCAGAAAGAAGTTTAGAGTCTAATCATCTGGCCCAGAACATGGGTGAACCACTGTTTTTGTTTGTTTGTTTTAATTTCCCAGCGAGTACATGCATTCATGAGAGAGAGAAAATGGGAAAGCACCTTCCAGCGGATGTTCATGCTGCAACCCCTTCTCTACTTGTTCCTCCTTGTGGGATTTTGGACATGCACACACATGTGCTGGGTGTGTTTCAAGCAGCTAGGTCCTGGACTGAACCTGCACAGTTGGCCATGTGGGATCCAGTCACCTTAACTGCCATGCTACTAGCTGGCCCAAACCATTGTCACTAAAACATATAAAAGGGCTAGCTGTGGTAGCACACAGATAGACTCCACACATAAAACTTAAGAGGCTGGAAGTCATACAGGAGGCCCAAGTGCAGTTCCCAAGGCCAACCTGAATATGCTCGGTGCTAATCCTAGTGAGGCCCTGTCGAAAATACTCCCTCTTTCTCATTTTTCCTCTTTCTTTCTCTCCCTCATCCCAACCTCTCATAATAGAAAAAAATTAATAAATTTGTAAGTTTTAATATACAAAGAGAAATTAGAGAAGGGTATGGACAATCAAATCCCTACGTTTTTCTTTTAAAGTAAAATTTCATTGAGAAATCCTTATGCCACCGATTACAAGCATACTGAAAATAGAATTTATATTGTACCATTTTGTCAAAGATTTCCCCATCTTGTATGTTCTTCCAAAGAAATTAGTAGACTGTAGTAGTAGAATAAATGCTTAATAAATGTCTGTGGAGTCACTAAGTCAATGATTGAATGAATAATTAAAGAATGTATCGATCAATGAACAACCCTATTTTCCTAGGCTTCAGCCACAAATAAATACTCACTCTACCCAAAGACTATTTATAACCCTTTGTGTTTTACTGAATGCAGTCTAGGTGAAGGAATGGGTACATAAACTGCTTACCATGGCTTTTCTTAAACCTTTAGTAACTGCCTGGTACTTAGACAAATGGCACTCTTATGGTCACTGAGGACCACCTGATTACTAAATTCTCTTTTTTTTTCTTAATTCATACCAATCTTTTTTTTTTTTTTTTGAAGGGGTTTTTGCTATAGGGCACATGCACTCACCAAACAGACAGAGAGAGACAGAGAGCGAGAAATCACCCCCCAGCGGGGATGGCCATGCCGCAATCCCTTCTCCTCCATACTCCTTTCAAGATCTTGGGCATGCACGCACATTCACCCAGCGTGAGTTTTAAGCAACCAGGTCCGGTACACGAACTGTGGTTGACTACATGGGAGTCCAGTGACATAGCCATTACGCTAACTGCTGGTCCCTCCACACCAACCTTTCTGAAGCAAGTGATAACATTGAACACATTCCCTTAAACTTCCAAATCTGTATAATAGTGGTAATTATAAATCTTAAAATATAAGTCAAGTGTGCTTGAGATGTAACTTACTGCATTGTTCTGTATCTCGATATCAAGTATGAGTTCCTCTTCCACTTGGATTGTAAAAACGTAATCTCAAACCATTAGGAATAGCCTTCTCTGCTATTGTCGTGCCACTCTTAGGCATTCTGGTCATCTTTAAGTCTATCTCTGTGTCTATGCATCATATCACACAGTTGTTTCTCACCCCTACCTCTCAGATTTGTCCAAGAAACAGGGAAAAATGGCCTTTGTACTTTGACACTGAAAAATAGGGGTTATGTCATCTTCACTGGGGATTCCCTGAGAGGGGAAGAAATAGGGATTCCTCTTTTATTTTTAGAATTCTATAAAGTCTGATTATAACTTTCTTCATTTTGCTTACCCGTCACCCTAACCTAGCAGATCTTTGGAGGGCTAGGGAAGAAGTGACTTGGCTTTTGTTTATAGTAAACATAGTTTCCCAACTATTGTCTGTGCTATCACGTCCAAAACTTTTCAAACTCAAAAGTCAAAAATTGATTTATTCTTTGCTTTCTGTTTTATCAGACATTCCTTGTAGGTGTGTGTGCATATCTGATTGCGACCTTTCTAAGTTTTTCTGAAAGTGAAATTATTCATTATAAAGGGTTTATTCAATGTATAGCAGAAGTGCTTTTCAGAAAAACAATTGCAAGTTTTCCTAAAATTATTAGCTATCTATGAGAATT